GAAAAGGTTTTCTCATACACAAATCCTCCCTCCCTTTCTTCCTCTCTCCTTTCTCACCTCTACCGTACTCTTCTCCTCCCCGCTTCCCCATCTCCCCATCTCCCCGTTTCTGACTCCTCAACCTTTTCCGCTTCCTTCTATCACCCCTTCCCCGGGCCACTCAATGTGGAGTGATTGAAAACCAATAAAATTTTCTCTTCATTCTCAAAATTTCCCTCTCTTCCATTCTTCTCCTCCCCTCTTCCTCATCCCCCCATTTCCCCTTCTTCGGCTCTTTAACCTTTTTCACTTCCTCCTATCACCCCTTTTCGGGGGCCACTTCCGCCAAAACCCACGCCAGCACCACCGGTGCCCCGTCCCTGCATCATAGCCCGGTACTCTAAGTACTATTTATCGAGCCACCGTCGCAACCCAACGCTAGTCTTGACGAATTTGTCGACGCATCTGTTAGGCCTCACTCCAAAGTCTTTGCCTTGTGATCGCCATACTTTGTTGTCTCCTCTCGCGTTCCTATCATCTCTGGATTTCCTTGCTCCAGCCCCGCTGTTAAGGAGTTACGACCTTGACAAATAACAGTTTCCGAGTCCCCAACCTTCCGATCCATCAATCAGCAACCGAACTACGATCATCGCCCCCACGAGGAGGCAGCGCCTTCAGACTGAGTGCGGGGATCTTGGACTTCCTACTACGGGGTCAGTCGCACAGCTAATCAAGCGTATCAGAAAATATAAGGAATCCCGGGAGACCCCGATGTCAGACGAAGAGGATCCAGAATCTATGGATGAAGAGGATCTAGAATCTATGGATGAAAAGGATCCAATGTGTGATGCTATACTCGTCACACAATCAATGTTTGGCGGAGATGACTACATGAAGATGCAAGCTAAAGTAACGTTCGAGGAGGAATTAAAAAAGGAGCAACTGGAAGTTGAACATGTGAGAGGAGAAGTTTATGTCGGAAATCGCCGCGGGCTTGATCTCGCCGGTATGAAGGCCAAGCTCAGTGCGCATGAAAGCAAGATCTGTTTTCTTGAGGCCTGTGTCCAGGACCTCAAAACCAATGCCGAGGACCTCAAAAACAATGTGAAAGCTCTGACAGGGCGCGTGTCCGTATTGTCGATTGCCGCAAAAGAATATAAATGGGTGCGGCAGAGATCCCTTAGCACCTTCAAGCGAGATCATCTACCGGACACGATGGAGCAATCGGACTACGACATTATCCGAACTGTTAACCAAATCGTGCATGAGGGAGATGTTGTAGTGGACGCCTTCTTGTACGAGGAGGGGGGGAGGCGCGACACACACACATTCGAGGAACTGTATGGATTACACCCGGCCATTGTTAGAACTATTGGTGAGTAGCCCTCGCTATCTCATGGGTACCATAAGAACTTGGATAATCGAACCGTGTGCTATGAAACCCAAAATTCCCTTCTCTGGAATAGGGAGAAAAAAAACGCAGCAAAAACACAGCCCCCTTCCCCTTGCTGAGATAAAAAAAAAATCTTAACCTTACTGAGAAAGGAATTCCAATGACATAGCACACGGTTCAATTATTCAAGTTGCTATGGTATCTTAACTTAAGTATTACAGCTAACTTCTCCAGAACACCCGGAAACATTAAACATCCTGAATCTCCACGCGCAGGTCCGGGCACATAAACATAAAACAGGGACCGAAGAATTTTTTCAGAAATTCGCTGCATTTATCCAAGCGTTCAGTGAATCCAGTATGAACCCGAACTATTTGACCAGCGAGCCCCGGAACGCAACTTGTATCGCATATTGGGCATTACATAATTGCCCAAAATACAAGGACGGTGGGGGGTAGCGTTGCGATGTGGGCGTCCTACGAGGGAGATGGTGGTGGTGTTTTGTCTTGTGCTGGTGGTGGGGTCCGGTGGGGGCTGGGAGCGTGGGTGCAGATGGTGGTGTTGTTTTGTGTTGTGCTGGCGGTGGGGTCTGGTAGGGGCTGGGGGTGCAGGTGGAGATGGTGTTTTTTTGTGTCGTGCTGGTGGTAGGATCTGGCGGGGGCGGGGGCGTGGGTGGGGACGTGGTGTTGTTTTATTTCTTGCTGGCGGTGGGGGTCCGGCTGGGCATTCTGGGAGTTTTCCGCACAGGGCCTACTTGGTTCATGGGTTTTTTCCATGGATTGCGCCTGCTGTAACATAAAATTCTGAGATAATCCCCACTCCATAGATTGTGAAAAATAAGAACCTTTAGTTGTCCAATTCATAGATTGTTGTCTCCCTACAAGAGTCCGTGCAACTCATGGAAAAAATAATTAACTTGGGAGGTAATTTTCACATGATATGAGTGCAACTATACAATTTGTATCCAACTACCCACTTTTCAAGTCTTCCATTGCATACAACAGAACCAGTTTTAAGATGTTGTCTACAGAAATTCCATGGAATCTCAATCCATGGATCGGTTGCAACAAGTGAATCAAACAGGCCCTTCAAGTTATTATTTGACGGGTTTTCCATACATTCCTGTGGTAGGTCCAAGTCAACCCGAGCCCGCTTTCATCTGGCACAGTGTTTTCGTGCGCGTGGGGTTGGAAAACTGTTCTAATGTGGCAGAGGTTGTCAGGGGCCTCACATGGGATTATCAGGAGGAGCGGTATGTTTTCAGGATTCATGCAAGGAGTGGTATTGCGTGAAGTGAGGAGTGTTATGGAGCCACCGAGATCCGATGGATATCTGCGAGGCTGGGTTTTTTCATACTGTAGTATACCGTATAGTTATCATCCACCTTGGATCGGTGGATTGGGATTAGACTAAGGGAAAAACTGTTATTGATTCTCACTCTATTAAGCCTAAAGCTCTTTGGGAAAACTCCTACTAAATTCTCTGTTTATTGTTTAGCTATTAAGTGATGTTTTGTGATCCTGCTGATTATATATAAGTAGCCAGTGGTCGGTCTTACGGGAACTCCAAATCATTTCCTGGATGGACCCAGTACCGGGAGGGGCGCATTGCAGTATGATATCAGAAAGCAATTACGGATTTCTGCTACTATTTCATTTTCCTCTTTTTTTTTTTTCATGGAGGGTCTTTCGGCTTAATTGTGTCTGGTCTCGTCTCCCACTTGTACTGTACAGTTATGGGGGCTGAAAGACTCCCCCGATACTTATTATAAGTAGGAAGGGCTTTGTTATTGGTGGGTGGTTTTTCAGCGAGATGGGTAGAGATGATCTTTCTGACCTATCGGGCGAGGTGTGCTATTGTGCGGTGGTGATTGATTGGTGTCTGCTAAGTATGTTATCGTACTATCCACGGAGCCATCTTATTAAGTCCTTACATAGTTACTCGCAATAGTCTTGAGAATCTTTGCAATATCGTACACCACTTGTATCTAAACAACACTCTATATATTTATCTATCGTGCAGAGAGGGAGAAAGAAAGAAAAACACAAGGAGCAAGAATGTAAGCTACTGTAGAGGAAAAGTCAAATATTATAGGATGAAAATCCTTAACTGGTTCTGAACTCTATCGTGCTCAAGAAAAAAATTCACAAACCCCCACCCGACTTTAGAAGCGAGTCCCTTGAAAGGTTCACGCCCGCGGAGTGATATATAAGTGCATTCCGGGCTCGGTTCATGGGATTTCCTTCAGCTACAAGGCGGGATATCCAAGGACGACTTCCGGGAGTAAGGTACTTGGGGAGAGAAAAAAGACTGCAGCTTCCTCAAATAGCGCTGGGGTTTACCACTTTGTGGGATTGTAGGAGTACCACCGCCTTCTGATGACCATACATAGCTACGAACGAGAGAGGTGTTTGCCCGTCAATATCTCGCTTGTCGGGTTGGCATATTCCCGCCCCAGTAGTATTTTCACCGCACCCCATCCGAAGCAGCGAACGAGGGAGGTGTTTGGCCGCAAAAACCTTGCCTCTTGGGGTTGACTTCTTCCTACATGAGTAACACTTTCACCGCATCCTCATGTCCGTGAGCGGCAGCATGTGAGAGCGGTGTTTGGCCGCGGCTATCTAACTTGTCGAGGTTGACATCTTTTCACATGAGTAGTATTCTTACTACTTGACCAAGTCTAAACCAAACAGTATGTGAGAGCGGTGTCCGGCAGTAATTCTCTGGCTTCTCAGGGCTGACATCTTCCCGCTCGAGAAGGAGTTTCACAACTCCCTCAGGCCCATGACCAATGGTATGCGAGAGCGGCATTTGGCTGAGACTTCGGCCTATCGGGGTTGAAGTCTTTCCGCCCGAGTAATATTTTCGTAACTCACTTATGTTCCTTCCAACTATACTGGCAGCAGATTGTGATGTAGAAGCAATTCCTCGCCGTAAGAGATCAATTCCCATTTGCTCACAGACTTACAATGGAAATTCGGACCCGATTGGAGAGCTATTTTATGATTCAGGCTCTGAAGTTGGAAAAGACATAGTAAGACAATGAAAACCACTATCTTGAAAAGGCTTGCTCGATTGTACAAGCTAAAGATACAACAGTCCCCGAATTCAAATTACACTTTTCATCCTTCTGACTAAACATTTCATCATGTAGTGTCAGCCAAGCCCGATTCTCCATGCCACAACTACCACTGACTAGCGCCTGTGTTCGCTGACCCCCCCTGTTCGTTGACCCCCCCGGCATTTTAATTCCCAGTTTCTAGAAATCATGTTCGATTGCATTAGCAAATCATTATTTCTAATGATTAACCTGTGGCTTGAGCAGTTGCAGAAAAAAACTATAGGAATTGAACGAGTGCGTGTATTTATTTTTTCACCAAGGTGTCCCCCATTACAAATTATTTAGTGCACGGTATAGACGTCAGGAATAATTGCAAAGGGGGAGACTAAGCCCCAATGAAATACTAAATAAAGAACGACGACACGGTGATAGAGCTAAACCTGGAAAATTCAAGGAAACTAACTTAGAAATTGCAATCGCGGGGTACCACTCGCTGCTACCAAAAAAAGTGTTCGAGCTTGACCCTCGATGTTGTTTCATCCTCTATGCACGTACGCTCGAAAAATATACCCTCACCCTATATTGCGGAAGGTGAAACATCTTCACCTGGTGAATCCTGAATCCCTAATCCGTCTTCAGTGTGCTCTTGCTTGGTCCACCTTTATTGCTATAACCTAAGACAGTGGACCTTGGCGAAATGGTTCTTAAGGTGGTCGACATTTTCCAGAGATATTGAACATTCCGAGTAGGGGCAATCGACACTTGCGGACGATTTGAGTTTGACTATATGAGTGCGTATATGTCAGATTGTGGTCCGGAGTGTCACATAGATGTGAAGCTCACAGATAGTGCGAACTTTGAGGTCTTTGAGGCAAAAGGGGCATATTCGCCCAGCAGATCTGGAGGCGTGCTCATTAGATGCTGTTGGGGGAGGTGTCATGACACCGTCGCTCGGTGTATAGTTCAGAGGTCTACCTTCGGGTTTGGTCATCGGGCGGTCCAAAATGGAGTCTTCCATATGTTGAAAAGGTACCGTAACCCAATTGCGGCACAATTCTACCAAATCCGCTATAACTTGGGGAATATCAAACTCCATGTGGCCTAAGAAGTATCTGGCGATTCGGGTACGTGGGACTAGTTTAAAATCGGGGATAGTAGTTGAAATCGTTTTGGTGGGAAGCCTCTCTATTGTTAAGTTGATTTGAGATTTCTGAGTAATTGTATTGCCGGTGATATTTGTCTCGCACTTGTGTAAGTCTAGTAGCCCTAACTTTCTGTCTCAAATTGTTGATCTTCTCTGATAACTTCCGGTAGTGTTTCCCCAATGAAGTTCCTTTAGTGTTTTCAATTGTTCTGTAAAGCACTAGGATTTTCCTCTTGACCTCCTCCTGCTCGGCGTCCAGAATGGATAACTGAGGATGATCGCTCTCCGCCACCTTGTTTTCCTCCGAACTCAGCTTTACCAGCGCTCTGGGATCTCTCACTCTCCCCATCCGGATCGAGGCCTCCATTAGTTTAGCGCAAGATTGCTTCCCAAGAAACAGAGATTGGGTATCCACCGTAACCAGGGACTGCATGTAGTGTTTGATCACACCTGGGCTGGAATGGCTCAGTATCTTTTGTCTAATTGCCATTGTGACTCATTCGGTAGCTGCTTGCTTGCTAAGCAAACTATTAATGGTGCCGCGCCGGAAACAGCAGGGAGTAAGCTTTTTCATAAATCCCACGACCATACCAAGGCGACTAAGTTGGAGAGAGAGGTTACTGCAACAGAAGGAAAGCATTGGGGATACATGTGAATTGCCTTGTTCAACCTTCCGAAAAACTAGAGTGTCGAGAATAGACTTCTTCCAAGGGATGGTCAGAACACTGCTGTTTTCATCTAGGACCTTGAGCTGGAAAATCTTTGCAGGCATTATACCCTCGTTCCCAAAGGCATCATCCGCAAAAGCAAGGACTAGAGAGAGGACTATCGGACAACGTAAGGGAATATCAGGAGCTGGACGTAACAAATATTCCACACTATTTCTTGCTAGCCTCTGGTGCCCACCAGTGTACTTCCAGATAATACTCACGGTTCTCTGGTGTTTCTGCCTCCTTTTAGTAGTCAAGTTCTAATAATAAGGACTAGGGAATCTCCAGAATCATCTGTAGTATTCTTAACTACAAGCAATCGCATGTCCTATATACTTTCAGTTGTAGGTTCCTAGCACTTTGAATGGTAGCTTACCTTATATATAATGCATTCATTAGTGTTAGCATAGCCAGATGACTCAACCAATGCACCGGGTGTGAAGGAGGTATATGACATTATTTGCATTAGCAGAGTGGTTTGAATTCAATATCTTTCTTGCAAAAGGCCCCCAGCATTAAAGCACCAACTGTGTGTGTACTGCAATAGTGCATGCAAGTCAGAGGGGGTACAGATTTCTTTTTCCCCGGATGGGGGCACTATAATACCCTCCTCTACCTCCAGTACTATGATGAACTAGAGCTGTGGTCAGTACCCCTCTCCTAGTATAGATTTGTATGTGAAAACTTACACCCAGGACTATTTTATTTGCATGTTCCTTCTCTTGCTTGGTGAGAAGCTCCGGTTTCTCTAATTGAATTTCCAATACTAACGATTGAAGCCTCTTATAGTATGTGAGGATGGTGGACCTGGAAGGGGAGTGCCCCTTCTTCTCCATTATTTCTCTTGCCTTCTAGGAAAGAAATGCGCAGATGTCTTTTGGATCGAATTCCTCTAGGACCTGATCTGGATTGACATCCTTCTCCCGCACAACCATATGAAAACTGGTATTAATTTGTTAGAATTTGGATATATAGGAGATATAGTGAGGTAGCCTACTAGGTCCAACTTTTTTTAACGTAAGCATTCGCTTTCTCTGTGGGCCTGGCCTACACCGTTTTTGGTTTGTCTGTCTAATTCAGACCAAGCAACTTGTCATAGATATTCAAAGGCATTTCTGGTGTAGTGGGAACTTAGGAGCTGATAAGGAGAAGACTACTAGCTTATATATTTGTCATTCAGCTTGTTGAATTGGGATTGGCACCGCCTAAAGCTATGTTAATAACTGGGTCACGACCACAGGACCCTCTATCACTGACCTAGGTCTTGAGCGAAAATCAACCCACCCACACGCGACCTACCTAACGATGTAACATTTGTTGTGGGGTTCACAGAGATGTAGCTGGCTTGCTGAAAGATACCATTGCAACCTAAAAAAGATCCCCTACTGGTTTTTGTTGTGGTCCCGGGCTGGGGGATCTTCTATTCAGTACCGGCCTCTCTCAAGAGGATCTGTAAATTATCCCGCGGTCGGCTTGCGATGGGTGGGTTGAGACCGCTCTACTGCTCCTTCCATCAGATAATGTGTACTAATCAGAATCTGTCTGGATGGCCTGGGAGTGTCTATTCTGCAACAACCTTTGTGGGATTTTGCAGGGGTATCTGGCTTGATATAAAAAATACCTTCGCTTGGTGTATGGGTTTTCTGGAGGTGCATCACTTGGTGAAGAATATTCTTTATAATATTATAGTAGCTTTGTGTAAAAATACAATATGACTTTGTTTTGGTTTTGCGGAGGTATCATATCTATCTTGACAAAAAAAATGCCTAGGCTTGGTGTAAAAAAAACAATAGGTTTATGAGTAAAAATACAATACAGCTTGTCTTGAGTTTTGGTATCTAGCTTAACAATAATATGCTCAGGCTTGATGTATTCAAGTTTTATGGGTTTTGCGGGGGTGCCTAACTTGGTGAAAAATATGTTTTCTTTTTTTTAGATTATGTTAGCTTTGTGAAAAAGATTACCCGGTATCGGAGTTAGTGTCTTGTTGGCTTAGTGTGAAAAGCTGCCCTTTGTAGGGTTTGCGAGGTTCTTCTACTTGATGAAAATATGTCTCCCTAGGGGATATGGAATGTCTGGTCACGGAGCCAAACCTGGCTCCAACAGTCTTTTTACGGCTTCAAGATGCTGCTTTGGGGCTGTCCGGAGCATCATCTAAGATCATATCGAGTGATATTGGATGATTGGTCGGCTAAACGGGTCCTAGGTGTAGGAGCAAAATTGCGGGATGGGCTCGGAGCATAGACTTCCCACGGAAATTTGGGAGATATAGGATACTTGTTGTATCCGGCTTGGAGAAGCCGGCATTACCGGGTTTCATTCAGGGCACCTATGGAATATTCATCTTTCATCTGGGTGATTAGGTAGTCCAATAGGTGCTGAGTTGTGTCTAAGCGGATTGTGCGTGAATTGGGCAGGTTTCTGTGGGAGATAGTGTAACTTTTGGGGGGGCGTTGGAGGGATGGTGTTGGGTAGGGGCCGGGTACGATTGCACTATGGATTTTCGCTTTCACTGTTTGTGCGCAACACTTAACGGATACTGTAATGCATAGTTTCCCAACATCCCTAGCGCGCAGCAGCCAAATCAACTACCGCAAGACCCGCGTGCCAAAAGAATCGTGAGGAGAGATATGAGAAACAGTCCGTTGGGTGTAGTCATCCCGAATTCCCCTTAAGTAGCAATCTAGCGCATTGCCCACAATGTCTTCCATACCCCCGCGCACTGGGGAGGCATGCGGTGAATGGGTGACCGTAAGCTATACCGCTCATCTAGAAAGTCCTCGTTAGCAACCTAGCGACATACGCTCCAGCGCCCCCGAGAAAATTGACCTCACGAAAGAAAACCCCCCCCCCAAAAAAAAACAGGAAGATTTGGCATATCACGCTGCTTCGACAACCAAACACGCGTCTGCCGGTTCGCCCTACAAATACACCTGGCAACTGCTCATTGACCGCCCCATCCGCCCAGACATGGGACCCGGTTCGCGCACAACCGTATCTGCAGGTCTGGCACCAACTGATTGCTCGTAAACCCCCGTGGGGACACCCCTGAGCCGCGTTGCTAAGTCTAGAATAAGAATCTAGTACTCTTTGTGGGGTGCTAGAGGGTCTAGAGTTGCGGTATCTGTTACAATTGGCTGCTTCGGCAGCCTTAGTGCAGGTATGCCTGCTTTTGATTTAGGGAATGCGCCTGGGAGGGTAGGATCAGACACATCGAACTCTTAGGGTGCAGTATACTATAGTCCCCTTGGGCGCGGCACGACCTCCGGAAAGGGCAGCAGTATAGATGATTTTGCCGGCGGCGACTTCGGGAGGATGGTGTTTATTCTTGTAATCTGGGTTTTCGCGAGCCCTGCTAAAAACAAATAGGCACTCCATGGGTTCAAGAGGGGCTTCCCCAAGAAATTGAAGCTCGTTGATCCCAGGGAAGTGACATTGGCCTAGCTGGATGGCTAGAGCGATGATATCCTGGGTATGTGGATCTGGATATCCAGTCGACAGAGCCATTGCATTAGCCTCGGAACCCCTATAGCCCTTGTTAGCGAATCTCGATGCGGGCTTGGGTGCTTTGGAGATATAGTTAACCCCTGAAGGAGAACCAGATCCGCAGGGCGGGCGAACCTGCCGAGCTCCTTAGGGAGAGAGATACGCAGCTGGAATGCCGAAACCCCCGCCAGCGGACCCAGCCCCGAGGTTTTCCAGATAATAATTCAAAGATAGGGTGGGTTTGGGACGGGAAGGATTTAATCTATGGCAGAAGAGAGCCACGTTATGAATGAAAATCACGGAGAGGAAATCGCTGAGCCCGTGAACTGAGGGGAGCAGAGACTACCGACACCGGTCATATCGGCACAAATACAAAAGAGTGTCTCAACCCACCGGACCGACTTGAGCGCTCTTGTGAACAGCATGGTCTCGGATCGATACTTCCCGGCTAGCCGTATGGAAAACACGGTCGTCCAAAGCTGGTCTGGCCGAATAACACCTACAAGCTCACGGGAGAGGTCCCGTAACGTGGCTGGGGGACATGCGCCCCCGGCACAGACTATCAGCACTGTCTTTGGTTTGGTTAATTGTGAAATTGCAGAGTATTTGCCAGTATCTTGTTAGGGGGGATTAAGGGGTCCTCGAAAGGGGTTATCGCTGTTGGTTTGTTGACTATGCTGTTTGTCAATGTGGCGGGGCTTCACGGTGCAAACACTATTGTTCGGGCTTGAGGAATGATCCACCGCGGGTGATTGAGATTGGCCAGTCGGCTTTGCCTCTCTGTCAAGTTAGTAACTAGTGGTCCAGGCCTCCCACAATAATCCCGAAAGCGAATCCAACCCTCGCACCTTGAGGCTCTATGGACAATTCCACAGCACGTGTTGATCGCCGTTAGTACCCCACACGGCGATCTTCGTGCGGTTGCTGTGTCATGGTTATCCCGAGGTTTGGGTCAGGCTCCGCGAGGGTGATTATTCGAGAAGCAGCCCGAGACTGCTGACCCAGTTGGGGAAGTCGGGCGACTTTGCACTGCAAGGACAAGGAGGGCACAGACAGAACCGAATCCATTACTGGAACTCGGGGTACCTGCAATGGTAATCAGCGATAAAATTTAGCGCCTTAGTCTACGAGTACAGTGCTGTACTCGGTCCCTGGAAATGGTTCCAGGAACAACTGCGGCGACCCAGAGAACGGGGTGCCAGTACAGTACATGAGCTTGCAGTAACTCCCGTGTGAATGTACAGTAAGTTATAAGAAGCGTGGTTTCACCTCCAACACAAACAATCACTTCCACTCCCCAAAAATCTTGGCAGAAGCGAAGTCTTTGTGGCTAGAGCCTCAAGGCTGCAGGTGGCATCAGCCACTTAAGGCAGGGCCGGGCAACAACGCCCTCAACCACACGAGCCTTCCCGCCCAACTCAATCCGTCCGCACCCCGAGGACAGACTCCTCACCCCTTCTAGTCATGTCTAACCTTCAAACTTTCGTTAACAGTTGGTTTCCCTCTCTTGTTGGTTTTGCTCACCCCGCTAACGTCTCGGCAGAAACGGTTACAATCATAACCTCGGATGGAAGAACCCTTACCGGCAAGCTTATGGGTCACGACCAAACTACCAACCTCATCCTTTCCCACACCATCGAACGTATCTTTGCAACACCCGGATCGGAGGAGGCGACGCAGCAGGTTGAACACGGATTGTATTTGATTCGCGGGGATAATGTTGCCATTTGTGGGCTTGTGGACGAGCAGTTGGAGGCTGGGATTGATTGGTCGGCGGTGAAGGCAGAGCCATTGGGTGGGATGAAGCACGTATGAGTTGGAGAGAGATACCGTGGACGCGTTCGGGGCATGATGGGATAGGTGGATATCGCGGGGCGAGGATAACGTGTTTAATTGCTGGATGGGCCACGGATACAAGTACGGATGTGTGGCACGTCGGGGCATTGGGGTTTTCAGCGTTTGCTACCGAGCAAATCATTCGCCTTCCCGTCTCTAAACCGATTACGAGCACGGAAGCTATCAACTAATTCGGACTGGCTGGAGCTCTTCTCCCTGTTTTCAATTCTTTTTGTTCGAGTTTGCCTTTGTGGGGCTATGCGTCTAGCTCCTCTTGCTCCATAATAGCGGTATCGGGGATGGCGGGGTATGATTTTCGCGATTTGCTGGACAAAAATCAAAATGGGCCTTTGTTTGATACAGGGTACCGGTAATAAGGGCATTCGCTCTCACTCTAAGTAATCGACTTCGTGGTTACCTGTCACTCCGAATATCACAGCAGCCTCAGTTATGAAAAGCTTATGCTACGCGTCCGTTTTGAATGCTTAGGACTGATAAATGCCATAGTTTAACAAATTGGGGGGGGGGGGAGGCATGATTTTTTATATTTTTTATAATATACATCTGCCCCCAAACCGGAAGGAAAAAGCAAAGGAGCTTTATATGATCAGATTGCGTAGTAGACGTGGACCTCCGCACTGCGGACACAATTCTGCCAGCCAGGAAACTGAATTACAAGTGGTAAGTATGATAAGGCATTTCAGCAGAGATCAGTGGCCACTCACCTGTGCCCGAGCGACCAGATTGATCCTATCGCCGGGTTTCAAACAACGGATGAGATCTGCTCCTGCCCCGGCCCCCGTGCTTTCGTCAACAGGGCCAGAGTCAGGACCGTCATGTTTCCAGACAACCCAATGTGTCTTCCAATCTTGCCCTGCATGTACATTTCTCTGGAGATCCCAGGTGATCTTTTCTTCGGGGTTAGACGTTGGGCTTCTATTCTCATCTGCCACACCTTTTTTGGTGGCGGAGACCCGCTTCCACGGAGAGTTGTTATAGTCGGAGGTTTTGGTCTTGGTCATCACCTCTGCATCCACTAGGGGTCTATGCTCCGCTGGGGTGATGGCGCCGATCGATTTTGGGCGTTCCGCGTGAACTTCAAACCAAGACCACGAGCCTTTGTAAGTATCTATGGGATCACAGATGTCAGTAGATTTAGTCTTTCTGTTGGATGTGTGGAATACCTCGGCCCTCATTGCTAGTCCAACCTTGGTCTCTGCTCACTGTTTTAAAGACAATCTTGCGAGCTGGATGCTGGCCACGGGTCTGATAGCGCCCTAGAAAGAAAAAGTAAGGAGAGGTTGAAAAAAAAGCCGGTATTTTTCCCCCACCCGGAATATGGAGTTCGTGTTAGAGGTTTCTTACCAATAAAACGTCCCGTTGCAAAACCTTCGGCAGCCCCACCCCCAATCGTCGACTCGGGCTTAAACTCGCCGGGCAGAGGTGGTGTACGCAGGTATAATAGATGGGCCGAATTACCGGTCTCATAGGCCGAGCGCGCAACTTTCTCCGAGGCATATTGCGTAATGGTGCTTGCGGCCGGCCAATATTCGGCGAGATCAAGGATCGTATCCACCACCTCTACTGGAAGACCCGTCCTCTGCAACAACCTCCTTGTTTGCACCACTTGGGCCGGGGGATAGCTACGGTCCAGCTCGAAAGGCTCATCCCCTTGGGCCTGAGACTGGCGGTCGCGGGAAAGGCTGCCGGGTAAGCGGGTAGGCATGTTGAACGGAGCAGGAGGTGGAGTGGTGGAAGAGTTTGTGAAAGGAGAGACGTTCAAATAAACACAGACGGCTTCGAGGGCATCGTCTATAGTTGCTTTTATAAAGCCAAACATACTCGTAGCATAGTAAGGATGGGAGCATGAGTGGGTGGGGGTAGTGTTGAGGGTGGCGCTGGCATACTGGCAGTCTGCTGGTAAGTTACTCGAGTGGTTGCCTAGGTGGTTGCATGAGGTGTGTTTAGGGTAGACTGTCACACAGGGATCCCTGCCAGGATACAATACTCGGAACCGGTGTCGCCGTCTACGATCCTCCCGTGACGGGACATATGACGCGCATGGAGATCGTCGCATGTCCCAAAGCTTGCACCTTGCTGACTTCTCGTACCAAATGGCGGGGAGGCCGGTGGGTGTGAGGGCCAGCTGCACACAACTCCAGACACGAAAGCGAAGCGGGGCAGGGGAGCGGGTGGGTTTGAGTTGCGGCTCATGCAATGCTCTGCCAGAGACTGACTGTTGGCACGATTCAACTCGGCCATCACAGGGCAGCCTATGCCGCAAACAACCACCGTACCCGTACACTACAGTACGGTAATCGCGCTCCCCCACTCCATTGTATCCGGAATTGGGGAAGTCTCCCAAAAGAGCTTCTGGGCATCCCGGAAGTGTATCTGGGGCCAAACATCTCGCATCTCCCAATTCCCGCGGGGAGAATGCTTTTTCCTGGCTATCGTTAGTTTCCACTTGTACGAGTACCTCGTGCGATATCATACTCTCTCGGAGTGAGCAGCTGCATGCAGCCGGTTACTGTTAGTGGTTGACATGGCATATCGGTGGGTTATTGTTGTATAGTTAAAATCGATCCAAAGCTCAGATGCATGTAAGGTGTTGTTTCTCCTTGAAGCTACATATATCTTGCATTTCCGGATGCTTGTGGAATTGGTGGGCCCAGTGGTACTCCAGCGCTGTAGGGTGACGGATAAGCCGAACCAGAGCCATATGAGGGCTGCAGCAACACCGTGGGCGCCACGACAGCCGGGGCTTGTGGTCGCCTCTAACTCCCACACTTTCTGGTGGGTTTAGTTAGGTGTTCTACTCGTATGTCCCCCTCTCCTCTCTGGAACAGGAAGGGAAAGAACCCGTCTATATACAGCAAATATTGAGTGCCAAGATACCCGCAAAACGCAACCACAATCCAGTAAACTTATGCTTGCACACTCGTAGTTATTATTGTGGGCCAACGGCGGCCTAGATGTTTACACCCTCTGCACTGTTCCAGACAACCAAAGCCGACCCATGTGGCCGGCTCGATGATATTCAATTCCATTTTCTGAATGGGGAATGGCATAGGTAAGTTGGCTGCTAACTTAGTCCCGCCTATCGCACTCACCTAGTATCAGAGTTTCTCGAGATTATCCGTGTGGTGCTTGTGTGCTAGTGGCCCTTAGCTAAGTTAGTGCACCTGTGTTTCGGTCCTAAACTTCTAGTACCGTACACTTTTGAAATTACTGGTCACATGTCTCCCGTACAATACGAGACCAATATACAAGTTTACTCACCCCCAACGAGGATGGTGTTTAAAGGGGGAATGAATTCAAGGCTATTACTATTGAAGTTACCCATCTATTCAGAGAAAGGGATAGGGGAGTTTGGGTGAGGTTGGGGGAATCTAGGAGGGCCGGGACACTTCCGTAATAACCTCGGAACGCTCGCTCACCTGGTGCTCCATCGAGTTCGGTGTTCTCTGAGTTTGAAGAGGGGTGGATAGGGTGGCCTGTCGCCGGCTTGGTTACCGCCATTGCCTCCACTGTGTGAGCACGATCCAGCAGAATTCTAGGCTTACAAAAATGCAGGCTATTGCATTGCCTGGGACCTACGTCGTCGCAGCGGGGGAGTATATTTCGACACTACTGTAACTACGGGTACCTTTTTGTGCTGCCCCTAACCTCCTTACCACCTACTGCCCGAAGGCTTGACCCGCGCCCCCGAAAACGACCCCACCTCAAACTCGCGAGGGGAAGAGGGGAGGAGGTATGGGCAGATGGGGAGCTTTGTGATTGTCATATATGAATCCTGGAGGTGCAAGTCGAAAGGGCGGAGAAGATCAAATACCTTAGAGGTCCCTTTCTCGGGAAGGTGTTCAGCGCATCTTTGGGCGCCTAAATGAGAGGGAAAGGTCCTAATGCTCCTGAAAAGCTGGCTGGGCTTATGATAGGTTGGGGATAGGGGAATTAAGTTAGATACTGAAAAGGAATAGCAAGTAGAGGAGGGCGATCGGATATTCTACGAATATATGGCACATAATTTTCACGGAGTAGGGAGGGAGGCTGGGCAATTGTGTTCGCGGGGGGGTTCGGAGGTTTATTTTTTGTGTTGAATATTTGGAACGTATTCTCCACTTAGGTGCTCAGTCCAGCTGGGCCGAATGGCGATTTCGATTAACGGGACCGCTTATGACAATACTGTAGAAGCAAGCAATTCCTAAACCCAATCTCTGTTCTGTGCAATGCCGCTGGAGATAACGGATGTGTACCCACCGCGGTTCCATGGCTTAACGTGTAATCTTAAATGGCCCAAATTAGGGTTTCAAACCAACGTCGTTACGGGCCACGCAAGGTTGTACCATTCGAGACTGGAGCAAATTGTGAATTTCGAGGACCGGGGAGGAGAGAAAGAGGCTTGACTCTTCTACCGTCGAGGCAGGCATCATATGGGAACCTCGGGGGAAAGGAGAAAATTCTAGAAGAGGCCCAGGAGGAGAGGGTATATGGGAACCTCGAGCCGACACAAAATGGCAAGCGGTAGGGAAAGGGGTTGTGAGACGAACGGGGGAGAGGCGAGAAAAAGCCAAACAGTGCCTAACCTTGAAGAGGGTGGTGCGAGGAAGGGGCAGGGAGAGGGACTAGATGAACGGGGACAATTCTTCTCCCAAAGTTGATTTTTGAATAATTAACTTGAAGCTATCAGAGGTAGATATTGTAATAAATAGGGGTTTAGAATTAACGTTACAAAATAAATACTGATACTGCCAGAAAGGGTCGTAGAACTCGACCGGTTTGTTTTCTGAGTGTTGTCTTAGGACTTATCTAGTATTGTCCTCTTACTAGTACTCTCTTGATAATACATTGCTCGCCTGTAATATTAGTTTGGCCTTGCATACAAATTGTTCTAACTTCAAACCCTTAGTGCAGTACTTCTTAGCTGTTGGTGATTTTTCTAGGTCTAAGGGCAACGGCTGCTGGAGTAGTATCTTAAGTGGTATGATAATAATATTATGATAATAATAATTATGATATGTTTTGAGTCTTTAAAAAATGGAAATGTCATGCTTTGGTAGGGTACAGGGGTTGGGGGGCAAAGGTGGATGACATTTTTTACGCAAATACCCAGGTTGCTGGTGACCGGCACTGCCGCCATAGGCAAATTCGCCACAGCTACGATAAATACCGGTAAGGGTTATTTGAACTCATGAGAGGTTATCTTGAAGATAATAGGTCCTCAGGAGGTCCTTTTCACTTTTGACCATTCGCATCCTCTTTTGGTGAACTGGAGGGTATTAACCGAACACCAAATCCACTTCATGAACGGCCGCGCTAGAGTGAACGGCTACACATCATAAATCCCCTCCTCGAACGGTCCGTTCAGCTGTTAACCGAACGAACCCTTAAGTACCGGTATATACTAGCACGCTGTTCAATCTAAATTATAGTATGTGTGGTACGAGTACGGTTCACGTCCTGCGAACCACCGCAATCGGCTAAAACACGTTCGATAACCTGACAGGACGGGCCCAACATATTGTTATACTCAGCTGATGGTCGACCTTAAATGACGGCCATGGCTCTAAATTCATATACAGATTAAATCAAGCTCAGAAACTTACCCGGAATCAGCCTTGGTGAAAACTCTCCTCTTAGGGGACCCTCTGGTAAGCGCGCCCCTTGGGCCCACACCAAGGGTCAATGTCGGACGAACTGCGGGGAGACAAATATCCGTGTCACCATCGAGTTACCGTGACCATCATGATTGGTCACTCGGTTCCCCTATTTCCTTCATGAACCCCAACTAGCTACCGCACTACCTCCTTGGCCAGATGTTCGGTATAGCTAACACAATCTGATGCATATATAAGTCCCCTGCCTATAGAGACTAAGCGTATGGGGTCCTGGTACAAAATACTAGGAATAGCGGGTTGTCTATCCATATTTGATCGCTCTTGCCAAATTCAGACTCTCAAAAGACGCACCCTAGGTTCAAGTTCCTTCATATAGGATACCCGTACACGCTTCCCATAATTAATTAATTAGAAAAGGAGCAGCGCACGCGTCTCCTTAGATGAGCAACCAGCTTCTCTTGCTCTTTCTGCGATAAAAATTTAATGATATCTACCCGACTAAGGAGGGATATCTGCCAACACCCCTCACTCGCACACCATACAGAATACCGGATATAAGGGAAAAAGATCATGAGTCATGATACCGGAAAGTCACGCACCCAAATGCGTGAAACTTTATTCAGGCGTTTCTCTTCCCTGTTCTCCACTTCCCCCGACATGTGTAAGTTGCTCGACAGTCAATACTACGTCGGTGGTTTTCATAATACCCGATTCCCCCCCAATAATATGTTCTTCACTATCCCCCTCGCCATATTTGGCCCTTGGCCCCGTGGTCGCGTTAGCGGATCTCTGGAACCGCGGCATATCGTAACTTTGTCCAATCTGGTAGGAGGGCGAGTGCTTATGAGTAGCTTTAGTACTACCGATAATAACAGGTATGTAAAGGCGGAAGAAGGGCTTGAGCGCGGGAGCGCACGCTGCTATTATAATGAAGGAAGCCTCGGCATAGTACCAAAGCATTGTACTCGCGGTATCCCCTAAATATGCAGTCAGCCATCCTTTTGTATTCGAGCGAAAGCCGGAAGAAGAAGGCACGCACATGTTATGTCTTTGCTAGCAAAGGGGTTTGGAAGCTCAATCAGACGAACAACGCCAGTGGCGCATACACTAAAGCGCAAGGTTAGCTTCTCCGTGAAAGAGGATGCTGTCGGAGGACCTACAAGCCCCCAAGGCTAAATATCGCACAAAGACCAAATTTTTGTCGCTTTGGGAGCTCACTGTATGCGTGTTAGTAACAGGAGAAAATACCGGGTGCTCATACCAGATCACTCACAGCCGTAACATCAGTGGTAAGGGTAAAATGGTCACCACCACATCAGTGAAAATACTCGACGCTGAATTAAAGTAATAGACAATGGTAATGTCCCAGCAACGCCCACCAGGAATGGACCTATCCCAAAAATAGCTAACGGGCTGACAATGGGCGAGGACAATCAATACTGTTGCGCCGTGTGTCAGGACAACGAACACCATCATGGCAGTTGTCGTCAACTTGAACCAGTGATGATGGCCCATCACCCTCCTATAGAAAGTAAGGACAGAGATTTTAGAGAATATCGATTGCCAGTTGTAAGTGACACTGGTGACCCAAGTTGCCTGCAGAGAGGTTAGGCCGCACACCTCGATATGGTGATGGGGGACCTAGTACCTTCAGAAATGTGACGAATTCAGCAGGTGATACTGTTTCTATATGGGACCCCGCGCCATTGGAGGCTCCTACAAGAGTTTTCGTGATGCAGTTAGGTATTTTCTGATGGAGAGGACGGGGCAGAGGTGAATTTACCGACGAGGATGGCGACGAGAAAGGTAATCCCGAAGAACTGGTCCACGCAAAACTGTATTAGTAACCACTCCTTCTCAGGCGTAGGCTGCCGGATGTCAAGCGAGCAAGCACAAACCTGCGCGATAACAATCAGGACTGTTATATGCCAAAGTTGGATCGTCAGCCATCACATCATTTACTCTGGCGGAAATATTAGGGATTACCATCGTCCGCTCCCCAGGCCCCCACAATCTTCACTCGGGTGAATGCCCTGAGAGCCGTCACCACAAAACTGATCGCCCCTACCACCGATGCGACCGCAAAAACCAAGTGAGACTTGCTTCCCTTCCTATCCTCCATTCCGGCCACTTTGCGGTTCAAGGTACAGGGGACACCAGTAACTAGTTATAGCTCAAGGGGAGAGAGAAGAAAAAAAGGTAGACTCCGGCAGGTGCTCCTCCTTTTCGGTTGATGTTTCTGCGGTTTCTGTATTATCCTCAGATTGTCGAGGACCCCCTCTGCTCGGCCATCTTATAGCCATGCATTTGTCCTAGAGAACAGGAGCGGAGGCGCACAAGCTCCCCGGGGTGGCTTGCTGCTTATGTTCCAGTGTCATACGAGTAAAGTTCCGCTAGCAAAGAAGGGCTTTCGACTAACAGTAGCGCAAATATTATTATATCATAATTTTACAGTATGCTACCGGTATCGGCCCTCTACCGTACTTGTAAGATGTGGTAACGCGCGGTACGGGTGGGCTCGGAAAAGTGAGTGGGCACAACACAGTTTACACCGAAAGCTGTCACGAAGACTCTTGTTTTGGTGGAAGAACTGCGTCTAGGCGGAATCTGAAAGTTCAACCGCACACTGCTCTTGCAGGATTAGGAATTGGCTGGAAATTTGTACTCGTACATAAAGAATGATGTCATTACTGTTCCACTTGTACTCGAGCACTTGTATTACCGGTATTCGAACATAGGCGCAACGGTCTTAATGTAACTATTTCTTCAAGATGACCTGCAATGGGATCGCTTTTCTCCCGCTGCGACTTTTGTTGTCCATATTTCCTGGTTTGCCGCTGACAGTTTTCCGATTCCTCCACTCCAGCCGGAGGGTATTCGCTGGTTGTGGCCACCGGGTACACTGTTGTTGTTGATTTTTTCTTTTCGGGCAACCAGGACGAGGTCCCGAGGTTGGCGGATGCTGGCTCAGTCTTCCTCCGCGTGAGTACTTCCGATGGGGCCGAGGGTCCTGCCTGAAAATTCGGTTTGGTGGGGCACATCACTCACCGCACGGCAGACGGTAGTCTACCGGTGTGACCGGTCAGCAGCCGGCGGGCGGTTATTGGAGCTTGGAGAGTCGACTAGACTACTGTACCGGTGCCGGCATTTGTGTCAGTGGAGCCGTGGATCACATGAAACCTTGATTTACAGTACTGTATAGACAGTATTAGACTATCATAGCAATTGTGCTCGAGCACCGGTACTAGTAGTGGCGATAACGCTTGGACCGGTAGGCGGGGCGAGGCAATTTAATGTTTAATTCTACCCTTCCTAGCACGATAGCCACCCTTGAAGTATTTTTGGTTTTGGCCAAGACTCCGGTCGGGGGTTGTGTTGTTTCGGGGGCTACGGTATGTGGGGAAGTCAGATATCATAGGCAGCTCAGACTGCGAAATACCGGTACATTACACAAAGTCTTACCAAGGCTTGGAGCATGCCGGAATCTGTAGATCTGCCGAACTCAACGTAACCAAGGTTAAGAGCAACGTATTTCGAGGGCCATTGCGCCTTTTTGTCTTCCCGACAACCCTCGACGCAAGTCTGATATCAAACCACGAAGGGCTTGCTCGGCAGTAATTGGATGAAGCTAGACTCCGAGGATTTCTGATAGTCCCCCTACGGTACTCGTGACTGGGAATGCGAGTTATGACTTGAGCGAGATCCAGCGTAATCGTGCCAAGGTGGTGGCGTCGGGTTGATAGCGAGCCAGGAAGAAAAAGACTCCAAGACTTAGACTAGCACCGCCGTTTCCTGGGCAAGGGCTTGAGCAAGCTGCCTAGTTGCATCATTCTTGTTAGCGCAAGCATTCCAGCCCGGTTTAGCTTCCAGTGCACGGAGGGGGTAGGCGAAAGCCTGGCGAAGTCTTGGTTGCTAGTCCCATTCAAATTCTGAGACACGTTCCCCAGACTTTCCCCTACCCCCTTCGTGCTACCATTATTTGGTACTCGAGCGCATAGGAGTGAACATACTCGAGTCCATGATACCCCTGCCCCCTATCATGGCAATGATGGGTACAGTAGTACTTGTCCCAGTGCTCGGGTACCCTACTGGCTGCACCTCACCAGAGTGCCCCCCCCCCCACCCCCCAGCATGGCCATAATAGAGCAGACATTGTCGGCGTGCATTTATTCCCAACTACTCAAATAGGCTAGTGTTCAACATTTTAAACTGGGCCGAATGTTTTCTCAGGCTGAGGGGGTAAGGTGAGGTATTGGGGTGCTGCTCCGATTCTGTGCTTCAAGTCCACTACCGGTAGTCGTCTAAGGCGGGGTGAGGGCGACTGGGTGCACTGGGAATACCGGGAGTGATGTGCCCTGGCCCCCCTTAAGTTGTCCGTGTCAATGAAACCGCCCTCGTACCCATGCTACTTGTACCGGTACCGTAGCATTATCGGGCAACTACGGTCCTCGAGTGCCGGTAGTGTCGGACCTGCGCAAGAAGCCCTTGCAGACAGGGGCGGGCACCAACCTAGTTGCTAATACCGGGCAATCCCGATACTAAGTTTACCACTTTTATCCCAAGTGGTTACCGCGATTTACCGGTATGACACTGCTTATAGCCCATTCCAACTCCCCTTCCCAGGGGTCTACATGGGGCGGAAATGAGCGAATCCGGCTGGACTCAAGCTCGGAATGGGCTCAACCCAGCTCACCCTGGTTCTAGAACTACGAGTATAACCCAGCCCGAGACAAAGGGCTGGCTAAAGTCTGGGGCAAAACGGTCCGAGGAAGTATACGGGTAGCAAACAGGTTTAGATGAATGGCAGGTACCGTATTAACTCGCGTAAGAGAGCAGTGTGATAGTATGGTAATTTAAAGCACAGCATGGCATAAGTTGCGTAAACTGAATCATGCCGGGTGCTGAGAAAGAAGAGGCCAAAGTGGCCTGGTATGAACCTCAAGGGATAGTTTGTAAGGCACTTGGAATAAAAGGGGGTCTGTGGTATAGACTTGATACTTGAAATATGTAGAAATGGCTCTTTCAAACACTTTTTCCTTCTTTTATTGATACTGCTCAGGCCGCTTGTGTTGTTGTCACATCTAGGAGGCGGTGATTCACCTTAAGCTAACCTACTCGTACACCGCTGTCTTGTACGAGTTAATCCGGTAGTCGGACCCCATTCTTGAGGTGTATGTTTTCTGCCCCCGTGGCGCTGTCCCTTACGTTTGCTGCCTCGGCCGCTGATGAAGCTTCCCCACAGGGGTTTGAGCCGATGCCTAGGCCTGCTCAGCATGTTTCAATTTCGCTCCTCGTGGATGGCAGAATCACGTTTACAAGTACTTGTATGTGAGTTGCGAGATTTTTGGCCTAAGGGGATAAGTTGCCTGTTCGGGCACCTCATCCAACACCGCCAAGGCTCAAGTCGAGGATTGCATGTCTGGTGCTCATACCAATTTGGCATCTGGATTGCTTATTTGTCTAATATCCTTCACGGTACAAGTAACTAACTCTTTTATTTTTCCCTCAGGGGACTCCGGTGGTCGCCATACCCATGATCATCGTAACCGGTGCTTTCTCACTCACCGGGTTCTAGCAGGGTTCCTATTTTGCGGTACCTAAGTACCGGTATAAGTACTCCGGGCACATTTTTGCACCTCACTGGAGGCAAATTTGTGGCACCACATGGCAAGCTTTGCATCTGGAAGCGGGCTTGAGTCTTGAGATTTGTAGTAGGGTAAGTGGGCTCGATAAGATACTCGAGTACTACAAGTACCGTAATGGCATAAGATCTGACGGGAGAGCTCACAGATAAGGTTAAATCAAATGCGAGTTAGCGAGCTGAATAAATTTCAGGAGTACCTGGAGCAGAATGTTGTTGGCGGATCCATTGCCATGCACAGTGCAATTGTTGAACATCGCAAGTATTTGGGACCAGTGATCGCCGAGGGAGACAAAAACTATAGGGGCCTTTGGGGGGTGGGTGCAATGAGGGGTTTGCCGAGCTGCCTCTCCAGCGGGAGTTCCTAAGGCTAGTGTTCCCAACCCTCCCGGACCCCCGCAGGGCCTCGTGGGACTGCCTAGAGCCCCAGACCGGACGGGAAGGCATATCACAGCCCGTCTAGGGTGGTGCTTCGTCAGGACGGCCGTCTTAACATCAGACGGCGGGCCCCATGGGGAAAGGAACTGGCGTCGGGGGGGATGAGGGGCTGCGGGGGATGGGAACGAATACGCGTGATTACGGAGGACTGCCAGGGACTTCCCCTTGGGTTGTGTAGGGTCTTAGCGTTTCTGCTGTAGATCACTCTTTGTGCTCATATGTCAGATCTGATTAAGCGACAGATGCTATCTTTGCAGATACAAGTACTGCTGCTCTATTGTAGTACCTCCGTTCAGAATATGGTCGTGAATCCCGGTATTCTGGTTCGGCGGTTGCCGTTGTTAGAGACAATAACGCCTCTTGAAAAAAGTGCAACGCCAAATTGAGATGGCTCCGGGAAAAACACGCCCTGAAATTGTTCTCACGAGTGTCATATTTTGCAACGTACTCGAGTACAGGTAGTCCTACTCTAGATCGTTAAAAACAGGGTATCATCGCCTCAAAATAGCGGACTACTGCCCGTAGTCTGCCCGGTCCTGCCCTGCAGATGGGCGGACTGGACAGTTGGGAACTTTGACAACGGCTGATCTCAGCCCAATTTATTGGGGGCCTTTAATTTCTTTTTCTGAATGATTTCACAGGTATTCCCCGCGGTTGGACCCCAACTTGTGGCGATTCAGGGGCGTGAATGCAGATACAATGCAAAGATCTGGCATGCGTGATTCGTAGCAGGGCCCATGGCATTGATGACCAAACTCACGGACACCTCCAAAGCCCATCCCAACCCGAGACAGATCCACGGCCTAAACCAAGTGAGAAAACTAAGCGCTCGTCCTAACAGTAGGGCCCGGACCCTTGGGAAAGATCCTTTGAAATATTCCCCTTCATTTGTATTGACGTAGCAACGGTCTTGCCCGCCTTTTACCTGGAGTGATGCCAATACCGCCCAATCCGTGTGGGGTTCCAACAGAATCCCTGAGTCCGAAGAGCTTGTTGGCAGGGTCACCAACAGAAGGCCTCAGCCTGTCCTCTAAGGCGCCATCAGGCTAGGGTTCCTTGAAATTTGGCAATGAGGGAGGGGGGGTGGCTGCGATGGCAGGATTCCGGCACTACGGAGAGGTCTTTCAGTAACCAGTAGACGTTGGCCGTCGCGTTTGGTTGCTTGATGGTGCTGGC